TTTTGTTTAATTGTGTTTTTGTGTCTCATTTTTAGGCCGTATTATAGACGGGATGTTAGTTATGAGGAAAGTGGAGAACGTGCCCACCGGTCCCAATAATAAACCTAAAATACCTGTCATTATCTCCCAGTGCGGCGAGATGTAGGCGCCGTTACCGACATTCATACGAGTATTTTCTATTGTAATTCTTGATTTTTACTGTCATTTTCATTGATTACTTTATTGCTTTGTATTTATTTTGAACATTAAAGAGATTTTTGAATTAGTTTTTAGTGTTTTTCTATTCATGGGTACGAGTCTGGAGTCTAGGATTCAAATGCGCCAAAGAATCGGTGATAATGTGGTCGAGAATCTCATAATTGATTTCTATTAAAATTTTTATCACAATTAAAATAATCAAGTGTTTGTTAATAATTACGATTACTATAGTATTTGTAGTCATATTTTATATAAATCTATTTTATTAACTCATTACAGAAATATTATTAAAAATAGTGGGAAATGTATAGAAAACAGTTATACAGAATTGACTCGTGTTTACAAACCATTACAAACACATACACTAAACACATAATTAATTATAAAAATTAACCGCTAATTAATTTTCAAATTAGTTACCATGCTAATACGATACGCAGACTTATTGTACTAATCACTGGACTATACATACAATTAGACAAACATTTAAAAGGTTTATAAACTCAATTAAGTTTTGTTAATGTGTGTGTACTATACAAGTTAGTAGTAAACTAAATAATAAGTAATAAGAGACGGGTACTTTTTTAATGAGAAATTTTCCAAGTATAAATTATTTACAAAAGTATTTCTTAAGTCTTAAAAACAATTTTTATATAAAAACAATTTTGAGCAAACATTTTGAATATGAAAAGTGAGAAAACAATTAATTCAATTAAAATTACAAAACACTATACAATGAGTGATGAAAAAAATATTATTTTTAAAAAATTGTAACAAAAAAAAGTTGTGAAAAATACTTTTTTGGATAATTTTTGTTCACGTTTTTTGGATTATAAGCAGCTCTTAGTGTATTGTGTGAGTTAAGGGGGGAGTTGGGAGGGGTCAGGGAGGGTAGGTATGTGTGTTTGTGAGAGAGAGTGACAAACTCTCAATTAATTTAAATAATAAATTTTGAGTAATTTATAAATGACTGGAATTTTTTCGTTTAGAAAACAAC